CCCCCCCCCATTCTACCATGGATACTCTAGATTTTAGGTTGAAAATTCATGAAATGTAATGGGTAATTAAAAAAAAAGTAGGTTAGAATCACTTACCAACAATTTGGGGAAGAAAATATCTTAGGAGAATTGTCTCTAGGCTTTCTAGCTTTTGAAAATTTGAAAGAACGGCCATAATCCCGTTTCTCACCAAATTTTACAGACAAGTCTTAAATATTATACTGGACCTGTATAGGGCTTCGGAACCAAAATACGGACCCGATAACAACGAGACCAAATATTAACCAAATTCTTAAAACCATTATTTTAATTTTTAACAAAAATTCATATCTCGAGCTAGGGACCTCAAAATTCGATTCCGGACATACGCTCAGGTCTCATATTTCAATACGGACCTATCGGGACCATCAAAATACGGGTCCGGGTCCATTAACTCAAAACGTTGACTGAAGTCAACTAAAATTAACTTCTAAGGAAAAAATTCTTGTTTTTATCAGTTTTAGCATATAAGCCTTCCGGAAAAACACCCTGATCACGCACGCAAATTGAGAAAGGCTAAATTAAGATACTTAAGGCTTCTAAACATAAAATTTAGTTCTAAAACATGAGATGACCTATCGGGTCATCACTTCTCCACCTTTAAAACAATAATTCGTCCTCGAACGAAATAAAAAAGTACCCGGGCTAGTGAAAAGGTGGGGATATCTAGTCCACCTTGGACTCCAAAGTAGATGCCTCGATGGGTTAACCTCTCCACTGTACTCGAACTAAGGAATAACTCTTTGATCTCAACTGGAAAACCTGCTGGGCTAGGATAGCCATCGGCTCCTCCTCGTAGGTCAAATCCTTGTCCAACTGGACAGTGCTGAAGTCTAACACATGGGATGGATCACCGTGATACTTCCAGAGCATGGACACATGGAACACTGGATGGACCGCAGATAAACCGGGTGGCAATGCAAGTCTGTAAGACACCTCTTCCACTCGCTCAAGAATCTCAAAAGGCCCGATATACCTAGGGCTCAACTTGCCTTTTTTCTGATCCTCATTACACCCTTCATGGGTGATACCCAGAGCAACACTCTCTCTTCGACCATAAATGTAACATCACGAACTCTACGATCGGCATAAATCTTCTGCCTGGACTGAGCTATGCGAAGTCGATCCTGAATAATCTTGACCTTATCCAAGGTATCACATTCTAACTCTGTACCCAACAACCGAGTCTCTCTCGGCTCAAACCAGCCGACTGACGATCGGCACCGCCTACCATATAATGCCTCATAGGGAGCCATCTGAATGCTCGACTGATAATTGTTGTTGTAGGCAAACTCCGCTAGAGGCAAGAACTGATCCCACGAACCTCCGAAGTATATAACACAAGCGCGCAGCATATCCTCTAATATCTTAATAGTGCAGTCGGATTGCCCGTCCGTCTAATGATGAAATGTTATGCTCAGCTCAACCTGTGTGACCAACTCACGCTGCACGACCCTCAATAAATGTGAGATGAACTGCGTACCTCGATCAGAAATGATAGACATGGGCACACCGTGAAGACGGACATTCTCGCGGATATAAATCTCTGCCAACCGCTCTGAAGAATAAGTAACTGTCACACGAATGAAATACGTTGACTTGGTCAGCCTGTCCACAATGACCCAAACTGCATCGAACTTCTTCTGAGTCCATGGGAGTCTAACAATGAAATCCATAGTAATACACTATCACGTCCACTCAGGAGTCCCCAACTTCTAAAGCAAACCACCGGGTCTTTGATGCTCACACTTTATATGCTGACAATTTAGACACTGAGACACATATGCAATGATATCTTTCTTCATTCTCCTCCACCAATAATGATGTCGCATGTCCAGATACATCTTGGTGGCGCCCATATGAATAGAATACCGAGAACTGTGGGCCTCCTCAAGAATTAACTCACAAAGTCCATCCATATTAGGCACACAAATATGACCCTGCATCCTAAAAACTCCATCATCTCCAACAGTAACCTTCTTGGCACCACCGTCCCGCACTATGTCCCTAAGGATAAGCAAATGAGGGTCATCATACTGCCGATCTCTGATACGCTCCAACAAAGAAAATCGAGTAACTATATAAGCTAGAACACGGTTGGGCTCAGAAACATCCAACCTCACGAACTGATTGGCCAAGGCCTGAACATCTAATGCAAGTGGTCTCACACCAGCTGGAATGTATACAAGGCTACCCATACTAGCTGACTTCCTACTCAAAGCATCGGCCACCACACTGGCCTTCCCGGGATGATACAAGATGGTGATATCATAGTCTTTTAATAGCTACAACCACCTCTTCTGCCTCAAATTGAGCTCCTTCTGCTTGAACAAATACTGCAAGCTCCGATGATCTGTGAATACCTCACACGACACGCAGTACAAATAGTGCCTCTAAATCTTCAATGCATGAATAATGGCTGCCAACTCCATGTCATGAACGGGGTAATTCTTCTCGTGAACCTTCAGCTATCGCGAAGTATATGCAATTACCTTGCCTCCCTGCATCAATACCGTACCAATTCCAATACGAGATGCATCATAATATACCGTATAAGATCCTGAATATGTGGGCAACACCAACACCGGCGCCGGAGTCAAAGCTGTCTTGAACTTATAAAAGCTCACCTCACACTCATCTGACAATCTAAACGGGGCACCCTTCTGGGCCAACCTGGTCAACAAGGATGTTATAGATGAGAACCCATCCACAAATCAATGGTAATAACCTGCAATCCCAAGAAACTACGGATCTTCGTGGCTGAAGTTGGTCTAGGCCAGTTTTGAACTGCCTCAATCTTCTTAGGATCACCCTGAATACCCTCTGCTGATACAACATGCCCCAAGAAGGCAACAGAATCCAACCAAAACTCGCACTTTGAAAACTTAGCATATAGTTGGCAGTCTCTCAGAGTCTGAAGTACAATTCGAAGATGTTGTTCATGCTCCTCTCCACTGTGGGAGTAAATCAAGATATCATCAATGAACACAATCACAAAGGAACCCAGATAAGGCTTGAACACCCATTCATCAAATCCATAAATGTTGTTGGGCCATTTATCAGGCCAAATGACATCACTAGAAACTCGTAATGCCCATATCGAGTCAGAAAAGCTGTCTTAGGGACATCAGACGTCCTAATACTCAACTGATGGTAGCCAGACCTCAAATCGATCTTCGAAAACACCTTGGCACCCTAAAGTTGATAAAATAAGTCATCAATCCTCGGCAATGGATACTTGTTCTTGATAGTGACTTTGTTCAACTGTCGATAATCTATGCACATCCTCATCGACCCATCTTTCTTCTTCACAAATAACACGGGCGCACCCTAAGGCGAGACACTAGGTCTAATGAAGCCCTTATCAAACAAATCTTGCAACTACTCCTTCAATTCTTTCAACTCTGGCGGGGCCATGCGGTATGGCAGAATAGAAATGGGCTTAGTGCCTGGAACCAAGTCAATATCCCTATCGCGTGGCATCCCCGGCAGGTCTATAGGAAATACCTCTGGAAACTCTCGGACAACTGGTACAGAATCCATGGAAGGAACTTCCACACTAGAATCGCGGACATAAGCCAAATAAGCTTGACACCCCTTCTCGACTATACGCCAAGCTTTCATATAAGAGATAATCCTGTTGGTAGAATGACCAAGAGTCCCTCTCCACTCTAATATAGGCAACCTTGGCAAGGCTAAGGTCACCATCTTGGCGTGACAATCCAATATAGCGTGATAAGGCGACAACCAATCCATCCCTAAGATAACATCAAAGTATACCATATCAAGAAGCAAAAGGTTCACACTAGTCTCAAGACTCCCAATGGTAACCACACACGAATGATAAATGCGGTCTACTACAAGAGCATCTCCCACCGATGTGGACACATACATGGGGCACAACCAAA